TTATGTTGAATTAGTCATTTTAACAGTAGCCTTCATGCACCTTCATACATACTTCATAACACCTGACGCATGTCTGTGCTTTGGGGACTTAAATGTATCCTTGGACACAACAGCATGTACAATTTAATTCATATCAAGCTCTCTACAGAGCTTCAGCAGAGGCCTCATCGCCTCCGACTGTTCACTTTTCAGCCCTCCAGGCTGTGGTTCTACTTCCTGCTGCGTCACAAGAGGATTTTTGTCAAATATCAGACTCAGATAATTAACTATTTGGTGTCTTTTAAGTGCAGTGGAATATGAGGTGTGAATGAATTGTGTTTTATTTTGTGATTTTACCCATTTTCACTCCATGTAATGAGATGAAACAAAACCTACTGACGTCTGACAAGAGCTGATATTTTAAAATCCTCCAGGTTCTGACTTGCCTGGGTGGATGAGGGCTACAACAGGCTTGAACAGCTCCACCTATAGACATATATGGCTCCGCCCGATCTGTTAATGGAGACACACTCCGGTCCACTAGGCGGCGCTGGAGTCGGCCAATAAACACAGGCAGAGTAAACAGAAGCAGAGGACTAGGAAGAAGAGGACCAGGAAGCGCAAGACACAGGGAACAACGGCGACCCAGCTGTTGTCTGGTCCATCATGTTGTCCTTCACTAGAGTTCCTCGTGTTTCTTCACACGTTTTTCTCCTCGTGAACCCGCAGCTCCACGTGGCGACGGCGCAGAGCTCGAGAGCCTCTGTCCCCAGGTGACGAACAATGAGACACGCTCCTGAGCTGGAATATAAATAAGACAGTGTGAAGTACTGATAATAATAACTGATAATAAATAATAAAAATAACGTGGCCCGGGGTCGGTGAGCCGAGCTGACAGTCAACCGGGGGGGGGGCATTCGTCACCTGGGGACAGAGGCTCCTCGAGCTCTGCGCCGTCGCCACGTGGAGCTGCGGGTTCACGAGGAGAAAAACGTGTGAAGAAACACGAGGAACTCTAGTGAAGGACAACATGATGGACCAGACAACAGCTGGGTCGCCGTTGTTCCCTGTGTCTTGCGCTTCCTGGTCCTCTTCTTCCTAGTCCTCTGCTTCTGTTTACTCTGCCTGTGTTTATTGGCCGACTCCAGCGCCGCCTAGTGGACCGGAGTGTGTCTCCATTAACAGATCGGGCGGAGCCATATATGTCTATAGGTGGAGCTGTTCAAGCCTGTTGTAGCCCTCATCCACCCAGGCAAGTCAGAACCTGGAGGATTTTAAAATATCAGCTCTTGTCAGACGTCAGTAGGTTTTGTTTCATCTCATTACATGGAGTGAAAATGGGTAAATCACAAATAAAACACAATTCATTCACACCTCATATTCCACTGCACTTAAAAGACACAAATAGTTAATTATCTGAGTCTGATATTTGACAAAAATCCTCTTGTGACGCAGCAGGAAGTAGAACCACAGCCTGGAGGGCTGAAAAGTGAACAGTCGGAGGCGATGAGGCCTCTGCTGAAGCTCTGTAGAGAGCTTGATATGAATTAATTGTACACTGTTGTGTCCAAGGATACATTTAAGTCCCCAAAGCACAGCATCGTCAGGTGTATGAAGTATATATGAAGGTGCATGAAGGCTACTGTTAAAATGACTAATTCAAATAATCTAACAATCTGTAAGAATGAACAATGAAAAGTAAACAAAAAACAGGTTGACGACACAAACTGTACAGTTTGAATGTGGATTCATTTTAGCACTCAAAGTGTTTGTTAAACTAGTGTTATTTAAACAGACCACGGCTGTCACACTCTTTACATCCTGATCTTCAGTGACTCGTGTGTTCACATGAACTTCTCCTGTACCTCAAGTGTTTAAGAGGAGAACAGAGGTGTGTCTGTTAACTCCTGCCAAACTTCAGACTGGCCCACTTCCAATATTATTCATGAATCTGCTCTGCAGCGTCCTACCAGGGCTGAGCCAATCAGTGTGCTCACAACTGGTGAGATGTGCTGGGCCCTCATCTGATTGGACAGCAGCTTCTCTGGTGAGGGCTGTGCACTGAGAGATCAGTGGAGGATTTCTGACTGAGACCTCTGCTGAGCAGCGTGTGGAGGGAAAGTTAAAGCTGTGTAATCTGATTAGAAGTATAACTTTCACTAACCTACAGCTGTCACTCATTGATTAGACTCTTCTGCTAAAACAGTGAAGCTGGCTTCAGCAGGGTGACTGAGATCTCACTGCAGGACACCTGCAGGACACCTGCAGGACTCCAGTTTAACATCTTAATGCTGGATCTGGTTCAGTTTTTGTATGTTTTGTACCATATTCTTTAATAGTTACATGTTTTGTAAGGAGATGTTGACCGTCTTCTAAAGCTGTAGTGTTTTAGATTCTCTCAATATCTGTCACTCTCACATCCAGACATTGGTTTTCATTAGTTCCTCTACTGAAGTGAGTGCAGACTGATTTTAAGTATTTATGGCACAACAATAATGTAAGTCTGACAAAAGTAAATGAACATATAGATAGATTATTTCATTAGTGCTTAAATGGTTAAACATTCATTTAAAGTGAATATAACTAATAGAAGCTGTCAGAGTATAAACAGGAACAATTAGAAACACCAGGCAAAGAACTTGAGCAGGGCCAGAATAAATTGACAGGGGCCAAAATCAAACTGCGGGCCCCCAGTCAGCCTCCCTGTCTCCCTCTCTGTGCTTTGTGTGTGTCTTAGCTGTGTTAGTGTGAAGTGAATTAGTGTGTTAATTTTACCATGTAAGCAGCATATAAAGTGAAATAATAATGAATACTTTTTATTATTATGCATCAATGTGTGCTGATAAATATTACTATATAAGAAATAATCACTGGTAATAATAAATAATTATAAATCCCTACATCTGAACCTGTTTACAGGACAGGACAGGTGTCATTAGTCAAGGCCAACGGTGCATTTACTGTCATGTAAATTCAATTTTCCAGCTCATGACAGAGCAGTAATCAAAACAGTACAACCTGTCACTCTAAAGTCCTTTTGTGTTTATTACAAAATATATCCAGAACCTCCGCCTGTCTGCTGGTTCAACAGGAAAACTCACTGTCAGTGAATTCATTTCACACGTCTGCAGCATGTTACTCTTGAAGCATCAGCACTGTGCTAATGCAGTTAAAAACACAGACTGATTGATGCCACTGTCACTGTCACACACACACACAGTGACAACATAACTTTGTGTTGATTAGAAGCAGACATTATTAATGAATTACGGATGCAACTCAAGCAGACGTTTAGTCACTTCATCTCCACAGATAACAAACACACACACACACACACACGCACACACACGTTTGTAAGCTGGTTGGTCGTAGAGCTACTGCAGGTGGGCAGTGAGAGGTCATTTACAATAAATAAATAAATTGTTTTCAATTTTTAATTTGGTAATTAAGTTTGAAATGCCCATAAAATATCCATGATTCAATATTTAAATAAAAAAGTAAAACAAAGTTATGGAAGTAAATTATTGATCTGGCCCTGTTTCTTATATCTTGTCATTAGTGGGAAAATAGTTCAAATGGAGCGGTGACTGTCACATTTTCTCTTTGCTTCATGCTGATGTTATGTTGGATATTGTGAAACTGTATTTATAAGTGTTTTATTATCCAGTGTCAAACAGCCAGGATACAGGCTCAACAATTCACTGTGATTTAATTAGTTACTTAACTAATTGTTATGTGTATATAGATGGATTATTAACCTGCAGAATTGTTCTGTTTATAAAACAAAAAATATGTATCAGGAAACCATTAATCTTAGTATCGTGAGTTGTGTTGTCATTAAAGATTTAGATGGGCCGCAGAAGATGAGCGTATTTAAATTGGGCTGTGACATTCTGGGAAGTCTGGGAATGGCCAGCCTAATGATTTGTTGTATGTCCTATCAGCAGTACAGACACAGTCCTGAGTTTATCTCACCTGTTCTGTACCTGCAGATAAACTCAGCCTTTGACTTGCAGTCTGTTTTGAAGTGATAATCGTTCACATATTTATTCTTTCCTGATGTCGGTCCAGTGATGCAGAATCTGTAGTGAGCAGCAATGATCTTCAGTTTTCACACACATTCAACAGACACCGTCACTTTTTAAGGCAGGCACACACTGTGCGACTTTGGGCCGCCCAGGACCAAAGATGATGTGAAACAAACTTGGGTGATATGTTTGGTCGTGGTCCAGCGTCACACTGAGAGAGATTCAAAGATGCTGCTGTGACCTACATCTACAAACCAACCAACAGGCAGCATGAAATTATGAAATACTTCTCTTAACCCAACACCCTAACCCTTATCTCTAGGTCCTACGTTTGCCTCTTTTCCCTCACCACACCCGGGTCCAGATTCTCCTCCGCTTCTTTTTGGATTTTTTTTCCATACAATAAAAATCACTATTAATCCAATCTAATCGATTTGTGCTCAGCTTCATTGTTTACCACCATAGCGATGAAGATGGATGACGCTCACTGATATAAACATTAATCTTGTCTATTGACTTAGCCATAGCTGCTGATTCAGGGGTTAATCATCCTACATTCTGCATACATCAGCCTTGATGTTGTAGCCATGTTTATTAGACCCATGTTGCACAGTGTGACCTGCAGTAAACTTATAGTCTGTGTACAGTCTGCAGGCTCCTTTAGGTATCAGTGTTTCTGTGTTCACGGTGCTCGTTTGGTGACTGGAGAGCTGTTTCATCTGAACCCAAAAGCCTAACGACATTCTTAACCTTGGAAATGAAAGAAGCCAGTAATTAGCTGCTTCTAGCTCCATAAGACATAACCAGATACATTTATATTTCCCACAGAACAGTCCCATTAGCTTGAATGAATCCTTTTCATAGCCAGCATAGAGATTGGTCACATGATACTCCTGTGTCACTCAGAGAACGTCTGAGGTCTGTTTTTTCATTGATGAATGATTAGTCTTTTTCAGATTGTCCATAGATTCCTGAAGTTACTGCTCCTGCAGGAGGCCACACTGCTCTCAGGACGCTTTCCTGCTGCAGGTTCCTGGAGTCTCCTGGAGATTCACCTTGGACCTGCAGACAGGACAGTAACATCGTCTTAGAACATCAGGGTTGTGTGTCACATGCATACTGGTTTTATATTTCTTTATAAAATGGCATCTGGGGGGAATTAGTTAAGGCTTTAAATGGTTTGATTGATGTAACATGTATATATGTCCCTGAAAAACAAACAAAGTAGACCTGCAAGGCTTAAACGTGGTTTGACCCACACTAGATTGTCTGCTGGAGTTGATAGTCACTGTAAACTTTGTGTGACTCTTTAGGGTCTGGCATGTGCTGAACTTTCAGATTTTTGTGTAGACCTGTGAATGGCTCACAGACAAAACTGAGTCATGTAAACGAAGGTTCCTGGTGCTTACCTGTTGTGTGTCATGTGACTCTTCACCAGGTGTCCAGCCGCCAGAGCAGCCATCAGAGAGAGCTCTCCAGCCAGCACGGTGGCACATACCACCCTGGCCAGCTGCCGGGCGTTCTCCCCTGGACAGTCCTGACTGGCTCCCTGCACACCCAGCATCTGCGGGCACACACACACACACACACACACACACACACACACACACACACAGGCACAAGGACACACACACGCACAGGCCTGTTAAAGCTGCAATAACTGATTGTTTTGTCCACTAGCAGAAACAATTTGTGTGTGTGTGTGTGTGTGTGTGTACCTGGAGGCAGGCTTGCTGGGGGGGCAGGTTGGTGCCTCCTCCCACAGTGCCCAGCTCTATAGAAGGCATGGTGCAGCTGATGTACAGATCCTCTCCTGTTGGTCCTGATGCCTCCATCAGGGTGATGCAGTTACTGCTGCCCACTGACTGGGCTGGATCCTGCAGGACAAACACACACATACACACACACGCACAGAGTTCATGATTTAGCCCTCACTATGCACATACAGTGAAATAAAGAATATTTGAGAACTACTCCACCTGTCCACAAGCGATGTAGATGGCAGCCACCAGATTGGCTGCGTGAGCGTTGAATCCACCGATGCTCCCTGCCATGGCGGAGCCCACCAGGTTCTTACTGATGTTCACCTCCACCAGAGCTTGTGTTGTCGTCTTCAACACCTGCAGTGAACGAATGAACATGAGTCTGCTGAGGTAAAGTTAATGTGAGCTTCTGTAGGATGAGTCTGATGGAGGGAACTTGTTCTGAATTAACTCATATAAAACTCAACAAAACAGAAAAACTGATACATATGTGTTAATGCAGTAATACAGTTCTACAGATCACTACTCTCACAAAACAGTTGATTTTAGCAGATCATGAAATGGGATCCAGATTGATGTGTAATGTTTTTTCAGACATGTTACTGAGACTGAATACAGGCTTCTGTCCCTCTGTGCTTTCTCCTCCATCTCTCTACTGACAGTGCACTGGACCTTTTAACAGGAGGAATGATTACAGTTGAAGCAGTTTGAAGGGCTAACGGCAGGACCCTTTAATACTCGACACCTCATTCTAAAACATGTGAGAAGTCAACACTCTGAGCCCTGGCTCCTCCTACCTCTCTGACCACTTTAGCGGGGATGGTGGCTTCACAGACGGCAGACTTGCCCCTGCCTTCGATCCAGTTGATGGCGGCTGGTTTCTTGTCAGTGCAGTAGTTTCCGCTGACAGCCACCACCTGCAGGTCTGGGAAGTTCTGCTGCAGTCTGCTCAGAGCCTGCTCTGTACCCTGCAGGTAGGCCAGGTGTGAACCATTATACATGAGTCTCACACTAGGATGGAAACTCTCTATCTGAATCTCAAATGTACACACACACACACACACACACACACAGTTACCTTAGAGATCATATTCATCCCCATGGCATCTCCAGTCTTGGAATGGAAGCGGATGTACAGATTTCTTCCAGCCAGACCAACCAGCATCTTCTGCAGCCGAGCAAACCTGCCACAACAACCACACAAAAAACAACATGTAGACACAGACACTGAGCCATACTTTTACTCCTGTCCGTATCAGGTTCGTGTTTTACCTGCTCGTGTTGTCAAAGGCTTCTTTGATGGCATGAAAACCGTCTGTGCTCTCCAGCCAGGCCTTGACCTCTGCAGCCTGGCAGGCGGAGGGCAGCCTCACCACGGGTCCTCGAGTCATACTGTCAGCCAGAATGCGACTGCTGGCTCCACCTCCCAGCTGCAGCATATTTTTAGTTTTAGATATCTGAATGACCAATGCTGTCATTTTTCTGAGCACATTCAGAATATACACAGGAGCAAAGTTTCCTTTTTCTACCTCATCATTCCTAAGTTAATTTACACATTTTAAAGGTCAAGTAAAACTCACTTTGTCTGATATTGATGTGAGATTTCAAAGCAACATGTGAAACGGACACGGTTATAACTGGAGCAGGTGGACTAGAACTTACAAACTGTGTCAACAGTAAATAGAGAACTGATCTGATCTGGAGACAGCAGCTGGATATTTGTAGTTAGCTATTTTGTCCTGTAGGAAAACAACAGTCTGACACTCACAGCAATTGCTCGACAACCGCGGTTGGTGCTGGCAACCAAGCAGCCCTCTGTAGTTGCCATGGGAACCTGGAAATGCTTCCCATCCAGATGCAGCGGTCCAGCCACGCCCACTGGTACGGGCATGTAGCCAATTACATTCTCACAGCAGGTGCCCATAACCTGGGAAACAGGAAGTATGTTACAGAGAGGACTGCAGTGTGTGTGTGTGTGTGTGTGTGTGTGTGTGTGTGTGTGTGTGTATGTGTGTGTGTGCGCGCACCTTGGAGTAGTCGTAGTGTGTGTATGGCAGAGAGGAAAGCGCAGAAGGAGAGGGCAGCTTTGAAGAGATCATCTGTCTCCGGATGGCCACTCCTCTCTCTGGCCTCTCCATGGTGGCCTCCAGTTTGTACGCTGGGATGTGTTTGGAGTTGACCAGCAGCATCACCTCAGCATCACTCAGGAAACGAGGCCCCAACTGCAACACATACAGTCATGCAGCCATTTACTGTTCACCGTGTAGTGTGGTCAGACAGGAGGACGGATCTTTACTGAGTGTTGTTCAGCTCAAAAACATTTCTGAAAACAGCCATTCACAGTCATTTCACAGAAATGACAGAACAGACTATACAGATTATAGATTATAGATTATCACAACCTGCTGTGTGATTTACTGTAAACACGGTGATGCTTGTTGCCGTGGATTCAATTTAATATTAGAGCAATAAATCTCATGCCAGTTGATTCTACGTTAAATATATCTGTCTATAGTGAGCCAGCTTAGTTTCTCTGCCTCTGGTAGATGCTTATCTACCAGAGATAATGTATATTATAATTTGGTGCTATACAAATAAAATTTAAATGAATTGAAGAACCTATAAACACCATCTCACACTATCCTGGGAGTTGATTGCACAGAGGCCAAAGACAGTCAGTGGACTCACTGCAAGTGTATTTTCTATTGGCGTCATGCTCTAATTGGTTGAGCCTCAAAGAGATACCACAGTGACTAATCTCGTTAAAGCCTAGTTAGATCAGACAACTTCCTCAAATCCTGCAGTCTGATTGGTGGGATGTGATGCCACGACCCACACAGACACCCGAGGGAGCTGGGAAGTGGGTCGAGGTGAGGAGGTTAGCTGAGTTAGCTGTGTTTATGTGTGATGTCTTACCTCAGGGTTGTTCAAGATGGCCACACACTGGTCCAGGTCTCTAGGGTTTGTGGGGAGGCTCGGCTGAGCAGCTTCAGATTTGAGCTCTTCCTCTTCATCCCCCATAACAAAGAGGCTCTTTGGCTGGGGATCTGCAGCTGGGGTGGACAGGGGCCGGATAACCTCATCTAAGGAAACAAGTTAGAGTTAGAAACCACAATGCTACACAATTCTGCTTCAACATCCTCACTGAGTCCAGACACACCTTTCTCTGCCTTGATGGAGACCATGGCAGCCATGCTGTGGGTGGGGGCGATGGGGCGGGGAGCTGGCGGCTCCTTCCTGCAGCAGGTCTCGGTGGGCCGTCGCAGGGCCAGGCCAGGGGCAGACATAGTGATGGGGTTCTTTAGTGACAGCGTAGACTCCATCTCAACCTGCTCGAAGAAGATGTACTTGATCGCCAGCAGAAGGGCCAAGGCCAGGCAGATGACCTGCTCTATGTCCATGGTGATCATCCTGCAGGAGGACAGGGACAGTTTCCTTTAGGTCTCACACAAACATAATCATGAAATAACAGTTTGATATCTCAACATAAAATGTTGAGATATCATAAATGCTGGCAGCCATGTTATTTCTCATCCCAGTATGACCACAGTACACTCCAGTCAACCAGTGACCAGTCGGGCCAGAGTCTGATGCTGACCTCATTCCACATCAAAGAAGAGCAGACATTTCTACCACAACTTCATCTACTTCCAGTGGACACAGTGAGAAAGTTTGCATGGGTCAAAACTGCAGCAGCAACATTACAGACAGGACTGTCTGGAACCCCAAGGCCCTACTGCAGCCGGTGTCCAGAACACATTCACTGTCATCCTCAGATGTTGATCCTGAACACCATGTTCTGACCAGAGATTTGTTCTTCACACCACAACCTCTTCTCACAACTAATGTTCTAAAGCAGAAAATACAGGGCAGCTGTCACATGCACACAGACATGCAGTCAAGCAGATCAACAGCCTCACCTGGTGAGGTAGAAGTGCCAGAGCGGTTTCTCTGGCTCGATCCTCCTGGGTGAGAGGTGGTCCAGCTCCATGCCGACCTGTGGCATGCCCACTGTGGTGTTGATGGACAGGGGCTCGGCGATCCAGCGGCTGTGGGCGTGAACCATCACCAGGCCCAGAGACTGCACATGGAGCAGAGAGCTGCTATCACATGGTGTTCAGATGAAAACAGAGAAACACAAGAAGGTCGAGAGGTGTTACCATGATCATCTTGACTCTCTGGGTCACAGGGTTGGGTTTGTTGTCCTCCTCCTCCTCCATCACTCTGGAGAAGTGGCTCAGCTGCCAGATAGGATGGCCCTCCTGACTCTCACGGGACAACTACAGGAACAAACACAACACGGTCAGTCAGACCGACATTGACACACACAAATACACACATACAACCACAGACTGCAGCCTTACCTCCAGCACCAGTGACACACATGCAGGGAAGAAGGTCATGAACACAAAGTAGTTGGCCAAGACAGACATGCAGCCGAAGCAGCACATAATTTCCAGCTGCCGCACACCTGAAAGACACAAACAGATTCTCAAGCACAATTCACAGGAAAAGGGCCGGGAAACAATCAGAGAGCCACCTCATTACACCTCATTCAAAGGATAAATGGAGCTTCACTTGGCAGGGAGTACCTGACATTGTTCCCACTCCGATCACTAAGCACTCCACCAGGGCGTCCAGAGTGAAGGTCGGTCCCAGCACTGCCATGCCACGAGCAATGTTGTCCCTCACTTCATCCTGAAAGAGTTAGAGTGAAATAAGCCAGTCAGTTGCATCTCTCTCTCTCTCTTTCTCTCTCTGTCTCTCTCTCTTTCTCTCTCTCTCTATATATATATATATATGATAAGTGAATATTTCTTCAAACCTGAGAACTGGAGCTCAAAGCGAACTTGGCAAGAGCACATGCTTTGGAGAGGTCAATGAGAAGCAGGAAGAAGGGCAGAGCCTCACTGAAGGACAGAGCAGAGCAATCAGCTGGAGCTTTCAACAGAGACACTAAGAGAGGACAGTATGAGGAGCGCGTCCTTACTTGAGGCCTGTGAGCTCTTTGTCAAGAAAGTGAATGACCACTGTGCTGAAGACGAAGCTGGAGAATATGGTGAAAAGGCCGGCAATGCCTGAAAGAGAGGATGAGATTTTTTTTATTTATATCTTGACAGGTCAGAGGATCTGCTCCCTCTACAGACCCGTCTGTGACATCTTATCAACATGTGACCATCAATAATTTACCTAAAATATACTTGGATCCCAGCTGTCTCAAGTTCTGGAACTGGAAGTAAATATAGACGATGGCGATGCAGCGTGTGATGGTGAGGATGATGATGTCACTGCTCAGTATTTGCTATGAAAAGAGAAGATCGCAGACTCTCATTAGAAATAATAGCAGTACTTACAGGCAGAGCTGGACACGCTGACTCTCATATCTGTAAGGTCAATAAAAGGCTACAGCCAGGAGCTGGTTAGCTTAGCTTAGCACAAAGACTCAAGACAGGCAGAAACAGCTAGCCTAGCTCTGCCCTAAGGTGACAAGATCCACCTACCATCATCCAACACAAGGAGCTGAATCCTGGTCTCAGTTCTGAAATAGTACTAACTGTTCCACACTCATTACAACTTATACAGAAACTGTAAAATGTGATTGTCAAACAAAATTGTTTTACAATTTGAATTGTCTGTAGAACTGTATGATACACTGTAAAGCTGTATGATATACTATAAAGGTGTATGATATACTGTAAAATTGTATGTCAATGAAGGCTTCAGCCAATCAGGACAAAGCTCTGTCATCCATCAGGTTAGTGTTAGGGTTAGTATGGGGTAGATAGGTGCTAAAAACCAAAATGTGTGTTTATCACAGTAATGACGATATTACAAAATCCATAATATCCAGAACATGACATACACACACACACGCACGCACGCACACACACACACACACACACACACACAGCTATTTACTTTACTCCACACTTCAGCTATTTCAGGATGCAGTCCTGTCAGATGGGATGAAGATATGTATTTACTAGTTGTCTTAGGAAGTTATGCAGCAGCAGGTTCATAGCTCAACAGTGATGACACGAGGAAGTGATGAGGTGCTAGATGAAAAACAAAGGTAGGGTGTGCACCCTGGAATACACCAGATGGCAAATCATCTGGTAGTTGTTGTCATGTGTTGGTCTGAACTAATGAAATCATCGTCATCCCTCCAGCCGAGATCCTGATTCATCATGCTTTCTAGGATCTATAGCTGTTGGCCGTAACAATGGATATTAATTCTAAATGATAAGGACACTAAGTCAGAGCTGTGCGGTTGGTCAAAGGATCCATATACTGTCAGTGCGACATATAGTCTGAAGTGCAGGTGGAGAGACAGTCCTGAGGCGGTTTCAGTCTGGGACTGTGGTCTACTTCACGCTGTGTGGTACAGTACTACAGTCTCATCTCACTGACTCACCTCTTCTGTTTTGGGGCAGTCAAAGTTCCAGCCACAGATCTGGTCATTGCCAGTGAACATGTTCATGGACATCATACAGATGGTGAGAGTGACTGTGCCAACAATCACCTCCCAGGGGTGGGAGGCCACCAGGAGGCCATGCATACGGAACAGACGGGTCAGCATGGTGGACCAGGGCTGCCAAACAAGTAAAGTAACGTAAACTGTTCAGCTTGACAGAGGTGTCACTACAGGAAAACACCATGATCACAGGAAACACAACCACAATCAATAATCAATTATTAGATATAGAGGAATAAAACTGATACATATGTGTTAATGCAGTAATACAGTTCTACAGATCACTACTCTCACTTTTTTGGTACTTTGAGCTTTCACATAAATATTATTCTGAATGCAGGATTTATAACAGAACAAATATAAACTAGGACGTTAGACAAACCAACACAAACATCAATAACAATATAATCTATGATCTATGATCTATAATCACCTGTCTGGCCTCAGTTGTGATAATTCGTTTTAAGAAACGTTTAAGTTTCACACTCACTTTACTGTTACAATCTGTGTGTATTATTGTCACGTTCTGAATGACTGCTCCAGATTGAAGCAGCTGTACACGTTAATAAACAGTCACTTTTTGGCATCGATCACTTTTAGGAATGCCACCCAGTCTGTCATGTCTGCTGAACTCGTTTCCGCAGCGGCTGAGATGCGGCTCCGCTCATCGTCTATTCCTGCCATCATCCATCAAACTGAACTGAGTCGTCAGTGTGGCCCCTACATGCCTCTGTATACACAGGTGACACGACATTAACATGAAGTGAAGAGAAGACTGACTTACCGCTGGCAGGTGGAGGACGAGAGACTGACTGCAGACGGTCACAGACACTTTGAGCGGCTTCAACAGCTCACGGAGGACCGATGGAACGATGGCACGCTACTACATCATCCGACACTTCAGCCAATCACGTCGGTCACCTGCTTCACGAACGCTTTATCCACGCCCCGTTTCCTAGGCGACGCCAGTAATAGGGCGTGGCCAGGGAGAGGACGCCTAATCTCACCACCACTGTTTAGCTGTGGTCCGTGAGCGAGCGGGTGCTGGTGCTGCTGGCCTACAGAGAACGGCAGGCCCGCCGCGGGAACGAGCACAGCTAAGGCGGAAACGATCGGACCTTGTACTGATTTGAAAGACAGAGTATAATGATACAGTATTCTTTAACGGGTTCATCAGTGATAAGTTAAATCTATAGATGATGACTGAGTGACTGAGTGATTATTTGGCAGAGCTTATTTATTGCTGCTGAGTTTTTTTTCGTTCGTTTTTATTACATGTAGCCTGTGAAAATTATTAAATTGTTACCCACATTATATTTTGTTTTACTTTTTTTTTTTATCTTAATACTTATGTAATATTAATCGGAACTAAAAACACAGGATACAAATATTGAAAATGCATCTGTTTGTATTTCAGACATAATTTCATTTTGACCTAACAGCTAAAACATTACTTGAGAGGTGTAATCAGCAGGATCCACCCTTACACTCGTCACAGGTAAAACTGAGGAATCAAACACTGCTGTCAACACTTTACTTGATCAACTGTGACTGAGTGAGTCTTCCACGTTTAAAGATCTCACTGCAGAGCAAATAACTAAAATGTTGTGTTGTGCCTAAAACACATTGATCCAGAACTGAGGAGTGTTCTCCTTCAGGAATGTTCAGGTGCTTCTCAGTCTAATAACTCTATACGGCTATAATTAGAAAATAGACTTCAGATCACTTATCATGACACAGCCAAAGGATACTGTGTGATTTAACTTTGTCAGAAATCAGTACAGTGCTCTGTAGTTTGATTTATCTGAGCACGTCCCTGCGACGTGCCTGTGGTCCTCCGGATCAGTCTCTGCGGAGAACTGGTCTCAATACGGAGGACTTTCTGCATGGAGGACATGGTCTCTGTGCGGAGGACTGGTCTCCCTCTTTAAGTACATACAAGATCATTTTCATAACTATAAAAAGATTTTAATGTTCAAGTTCTACACACATCGGTTTTAAGAGCGCTCCTATCGTTTCTGGGTCAGTGGCCACAGTTTCATGGCTTTTTGTTTGTTCACAGTGTAGTGAGGCTGAACAAATCTGAGATTTGATTTAAGGGTTAGTTCAAGGCTGAACCAACTGTTTAGTAACTAACGGACCCACCAACAGAGACTGCACTTGAGAGATGTGCTGTCCCTGTCCTTTCCAAAATCTGAGCACTTCACAGATTACAGCTGTAGTCCACCACAACATGAAGACCTGTATTCATTCAGTTTATCAAGAATTACAGTACAAAATAAACAATATACAAGACATACAAACTGTACCATGACGTATGTTTTCCAGCTATTGCTTGTTGTTATTACAAAAAAAAATATATATATATTTTTTCAATATATATTATATATATATATATATATATATTATATATTTGTAATAACAACAAGCAATAGCTGGAAAACATTACGTCAATGGTACAGTTTGTTTGTCTTGTACATTGTTTATATATTATTATTAATATAATATATATTATTATATTTATTATGAATATATATATATATATATATTTACTTTATATCAATAAAGACAAAAGCCTAGCCTATTTCTAAGTATTTGGTTTCAGATGGATTCCTCTTGTACTCGATTAGTTGTAGTCACAGACCAAGCTGCTATGGTTAAACCAATTAAACCACAATCAGTATTAAATTTAAACTGAATGTTGATCAAGTGAAATCATTTAAAGGGTAAAGTGTCACTTTGTTAGTGTGAGGGTCTTCAGTCAAACTGACAGTAAATAAAATCTATAGGCTACTTACTGCTTTTATAGCCAATCTGAGCTGTAACACCTATTTTAAATTTTGTTAAAGGAGTTAAACTCCTTCCACTGTTTTTTGTGAATAAGTCAGATACTGTGGGATCAGGTTAGGCCGGGTAAACAAGCTTCCCACACACTAACGCCTCAGGAATAATTTTATCACACAACAGGGCTGTACTTTGGCGCTACAGTTCTGCTACGTCACACCGGGTTACACCTGCTGCTGTGGCTGGAGAAGAGGGGCACCTTCAGACGTGATATAGACAGTGATGTTAAACTCTCTTTTCTTCAACATTTGTTACTTAAATTTATCCAGCTGAAGGTAAACTATTCACTCTCCTAGTTAAAGTAACGTAGCTAACACTAATCGCTAACCAACCACACACTATTAGCCACTGTAGCTTCAAAGGTTTGGTCACATAGCGCTCATACTTTTACAGTTGAAAAATCTTAACGCTAACTGTTGTTAGCCGCTAGCTAACGTCGTCAGTTTCATAGACTGTGACTGTTTAACTGTTTACATATATTATTGGTCACAGTGAATTTATACCAGAACAACATGGCGGCAGTAAGTGAATGTCTTTGAGTGTGGACTGTTTTCTGGTGTTTTAAAGATCAAATTGTTAATCAAGAAAACAACAATAATCAACAGGTTGATCAATCAATCATTAACAATGATCAAAATCATTGTTAGTTGTAGGTTCCTCCACTCAGCGCAGTATGAATGTTAAAAAAAACGAGCTCCTTGAGATTGAATGTACGGGAGTCACAGTTGAAACTATATAATATTTAAGAAATGAGGGTTAGTGTCAGACCTGGATCAGACCCATTGAACCTAGCAGAGACAGTACAGAACCCTGTTCTGGTAGTCCCGGTTCTGTGCTAGTGAAATATGTCAACACACACTGTTTATGAAGAAGCTTAGTCTCTCCACAGGTGTTCTGCACCTGAGAAGGTGACATCCTGGCAGTCATATGTTATTTGTCATTGAAATGATTTACTTTAATCAACATGAAAGGAAATGTTTTCTCCTTGGAATGAAGGAAACCTTTTATCAGGGCTGGTGACACAGAGTAAAATATAGTATTTTGTAACTATACCTAGTAAAATAACACTGGTTTTCTTATTGTTGGAATTTCTCCCCAGAAAATGTGTGTGTGCCCTGTTTTCATTTTATTTCTTGCGTGTTCATTCAGTATCCGTTTTATTAGCAAACTCACGTTTTATTTTGTGCTGCCATCTAGTGATGGAAAATAGTCCAGTCTTCTGACACAGGACATTTTGCTTGCGTTAATAAAAAAGGTCATGCTAGTTTGATTGTCATGTAGAGGTAGACAACAGTGACAGTGACCAAACTGAGGATACCTTGGTGATAGTCCAGTTGAGTCTGTGGACTGGACAGAACCTGAACCTCATATCAGGCAGCATAGAGGCACACATGGTACATACATGTACACCTTCCTGACTGAAGTGACTGTTGTTCACAGATTTTAGAACCAGTGCTTCTCAGTTTCTGTGAACTTCGAACAAAAACTCTGACCAGAAATTTAACACTATCAAGTAAAAAGCAGTTTAGATCTTTGCTGTTCTTAAGATGTCATTAGAAGAGGGAAAAAAATTAGAAAAAAACAAAAACTTTACCCTAGATAAAAATCATTATGACAAACTTGAAAACCCTCCATTGGAGGAAAGATAAGGGGGAAAGGGGGGGGGGTGGTACCCGTGCTGGGCCGCCCGGGCCCCTTTGCCTGCCCCTCTGGTGTAAACTCTCCATCCCCATCCTTACTACATGATTAAGATTTCTACCATCCTGATTATCATAATCACATATTATCATATTATTATTATTATTATTATTATTATTATTATTATTATTATTATTATTATTATTATTATCATCATATATTGTTATTATTATTACTATTATTATGCTGCCTGTATATATAGCACACGCACATGTACATTGCTGCTATTACCACATTACTATTATTATATATCATTGCTATCATTACTATCTGTTATTGTTACTATTATTATTATTGTATCAACTTTTATTAGAACATCCTATTGTGGCGCACACACAAACACTACTACAAGAAGTAAATGTGTTGTTTTAAACACACACCAACCAGAAATCAAATTCAAGTTTTAACTTGAATAACGTTCAGGGATCATATTCACAGCACTTTAATGTTGATATCTGTCTGTAGCTGTAACTGTATATAAAACATCTGCACCGTATAAGATAAAACATCTGCATTGTATATGATAAAAACATCTGTCTGTTTTACAGGTGTGGAGGTGGTAGAAGAAGAAGTGGCGTGCATCCCTGTCACCAGGTGTTTTTGTGTGTTTCTGACCACCAGGTAGGTCTGATGTTTCTGCTGCTGCTGACACGGATACACTGGTGGTAGTGCGCACGGCTCAGATCTAGTCTTTCCCCAGTGGGGTCATTTTAGTTAGGATTAGAGGTTGACTATCTGGTTCTGTCTGTATCAATGTATCATTGGTCCACTGAATGAATCACAAGTCTGATGATTGATAAAATGATGGTGACTGTCACAGCAGTAAATGATGCCACAGCGTTGACACTGTCAGCTACAAAAAAGGTCTATTAGAGCAACTTTAAAGAAAAATCCATCCTCCAGTAGAGTGGAGTGAGTACACTGACCTGCTCTGTCAGGGTGAGTCATTGGACCTGAATGAAGCTCTTGTTGACCAGCCAACATCTGTTTAGTCTAATTTATTTAACATGATGAAAATGGAGACATTGACAACACAAAAGCAAAGTTTTTATGAAGTGATTTAGTTTTTGGTGACACTTGTGTTTCTCTTTGCCAACCTCAGTCTGGAATAGTCTCAGTGATGACTCTTCACCTCCCTCTGCTGGTTGTCCAGTAGCTAAACACAAACAGTGTAAATGTAGAGGGATGCAGTCTCTGTTTCTTCACCCCTGTGACAATATGACAGGATATGAGAGTTCTGTCACTTCTTCTGGATACAAGAACTAAACAAATGGAAGTCCTGACCCTTTGTGGTTGTTTGAGTCAACACTAACTCA